CTAAAATAATAAATTTTTGTTCTTATTTTGCTCTTATTTGTCTTAGAAGTTAAAATGTATGTTAGATTTTTATGCCCTACAACACTTGTGATACAAGAAAATATTAAGTTTGTGCGGATATATGCAACACCCAGAAAGATTTGCGATAGATTCGCCTTTTAGATACCAATCCAAGCTTCTCTGTTCATCTGTCTCCTTTGTTTCTTTGTGCTGAACGCTAGCGAAAGTGGGTCATATCGAGCCACTTGCTCGACTACTTCCTATCTATTGAAAAGTCGTTACATCACTAACTATAGGGTTCTTGGAGTAATATTTAAAAAGCTTAGAAATATGCATTAGAGACTTTCCGGTGTAACTTATCCAACAGGTTTGGATGATGCCCATATTTCACTTAAGAGTTAAAAAGGAACATGTCAAAACCTATCGAAGATATGAGAAAATTCATGGAAACAAGGCAGAGAAAAACTTACTTTAGTAAAAGAAAAGATACTTGGATAAAAAATGAAAGCAATGACTATTTTTGTTAGTAACGTGTGCAGTTAATCTCATTTTTTGTTTATTTTTCTGTTTAGAAAAACAGGACTTGTTTAAATTGCATTATTTTTTATTTTTATTTAAAATTGAACGAATTAATGTATGCCTTACGGCATTGACATCGGCTTGGAAAAGTTCTATGACTTTTTTGTTGAGCTCTTTATCCGAATTTTATGTGAAAAAAAGGAGACGCTTTCGTTCGATGACAGTCTTGGCTTTTTTTATACAATTAAACCTCGTTGAAAAATATTGTTTGGTAGAAATGTTCCTTATTTAAAACGTACACTCTGTGTTGAGTCGTAACAAAGCTTGCAAGTATAAAGCCTAGTAGGATAATTAGAAAGTGAAACGGGAAAGAATTAGTGCTTGGGTGAAAGCCGATGCCATCGAAATATCCTTAAAACTAGCTAAGTGTTCTCTTGGGACAGTTTAGAAATGAAATGAATTAAATGAGAATTGAAATAATCAATGATAATATGATGTATACCTAACTACACTAAAGAGTTTAAAGAAAACTTTACTTAGCATTTTTCTAGAACAATTAAGAATTCATTTCAAACAGTTCACTTCAATGGGAATAGATTGTTTCTTCATAGCTCATATTTGACGACTTAGGAAAATTGTCAATTAAAAAACATTTTTTTTTTTTTGAGAAAATATTTTCTTTCAGTATATGTAGCTATGAACATTTTAATCATATTATGCTCTGAGGAAATGAAATAAGAAAATAAAGAAAGATATGTGACGGAAAAGAACATATATACGTGCATACACGTATATGTTTAGGTAAAATATAATATTTGTGTGCGTGTACGATTTAAGCTGCATTTCCCTTCGCCCCAGACTTGCGAAATGTGCCCATCTTCGAGACAGCTGCAAGGGAAGAGTCTTCTGAAGATATTCTTGCAATTTTAGTGTCCATAAAATGTACATATCAATAATCTCCATTTATGATGTTCTCATAATAACATAGATTCTATACATACATACAAGTCTTTAAATATATACGAATGTATGTACATAAACTTGAACATTTCGTAATCTGTTGATCATTTAATATGCCATCAAGGAATTGTCTGCTATTATTGTGATTATTATTGTGGTTGAAGGACGGTAAAATAATACACAATATGGATATTTATTAACGTTTGATGCTAATAAATCGTCTCACATGTTAATGTTTCTCAGAAATTCATGATTACATCCTTCCCAGAGTGTGGCTAAAGCAGACCCTTGGATTACAGCGTATAGAAAGGATAAATGTGCCCTTGTATAGGCGAATAGTTCTTAATAAAAGAAAAATAGAAATTTCTGAAATGAAATTTCATGTGAATAAGAAAATAAATCGTCACCTAAAGGATTTATTATTACATGTCAAATAATGCATGCATATATATATACATATACTTAATAGATTGGCGGGAAAGTTCTGTTGTATTTTACTAAACCGAGATAATTTTACTTGTAAGATCAAGGCAAGCGAGTAAGATGAGTCACATCCATCATTATTTAGCATAGCTATTGTCGGATATAAGAAAAGTACTTTCAATATCCATCAGTCAGATCAGTTAGTTGCAAAGAGCCGAGTAAAGAAAATACAATAGATAAGGTGCATTTAAGACATGACTTTCAGGAAGGAAGCAACACACCGCTTTCTTGTGAAAACTTATGTAACAGATTGGGAAGTAAAGCTGTAAGTGTTCGGACCTGCCAAAAGTAGTTCCATAGTTTTCAAAATCATATGACATTGTCGTGTCGAGCATTTTGCGGTCCCTGTTGGGAAGTACCTAACGTGTTAGCACACTTTTGCATACGGAGGAACGCATCAAGCATTTTCAAATTCATGTGTTTTGTTTAAAACACGACAGATCCGACATATATATATATATATATATATTATGTATATAGATATATGAACACATTTCTTTGTACCATTTATTTAACCATCCCTTTGACGACATTTACTAGTTCAATGGACGATTGCGTAACGTTGCATACGTTACATGTTGCAAAACCAATAATCAACCATTTCTACATTGAATAATTCCAGTTTACTATACCGCATAGATAATCTTATTATGGGACCACAGTTATATGCTTATTGCTTGTGCACATTTAGTTGTTAAAAAAAAAACTTGGATGGACAATTAAAGCCACAAAAGTTAGAAATATTCTATTTGATTAAATATTCCCAATGTTTCTTCTCATTTTAAATGCCACGTCACACATTTCTCTGAGAGAAAATTTGCTAATTGCAATTACGATTGGTCGTAAGATGTATTACAAGCAGAGAATACTAGCATTTTAGGATATAGAAAATATTATAATTTTTATGTTTATTTATGATTTGATTAAATACGCAGCAACAACATTTTACAATTATTCGTAATTTAATTTAATGCCGGGAGAGTGAGAGAAATTTAAAGAATCAATAAAATAAATAAATAATCGAATCACGCACTTACTGCCTAAGCTAAATGTTGTCACCTGAATAATGAATAATTGAACAATAATTGAGATAAAAGTTACAAATAAAATATAAAAAAAAAAAAAATAAACAAAGATTTTATACGATTTGGAAGGTAAGGGGGATAAATCGTCAGTAAGAATTACCGTAGAATCCACGTGTGCATATATAATATACGAATATGCGAAGACATTTTGAAACGTATCAATCTATTAATACCCTCCGCTATTTTTTCTATGCCATTTGATTGTAAGTAAATCAAAAATTCATTTCCAGTCGATGAAACAAGATGCGGTAATGCTTTGTATTATTTATAAATAATTGATTTCGAATTTCAGATTTAGTCGGAAAACAATGATAAGAAAATTCTTAACTTAAATTTTGTTTTTCTTTAGTGAAGTTTTGAAAGCAGATGAGCTAATCATCTTAATGCAAGAACATATGACATGGCAGACATGGCTTTGCGTGACATAAATATATGATAAACTTCTTTGGGCTCTTCTCTAATGGCGCAACACCAAGCTGTGTGCGAGAACAAGCTAACGTTTACACATACATGTGCAACTAGAATTAGAAGATTATAATTCATTAGATGGCATGTGTTAATCAAATTTATCAAACGTTTATACCACATAAATACAGGTATCAGAAATTCGATGAAGTGTACATATGTTTGTCATAACACATGTTCAGCGTTCTCGGTGCAATAACAAAAGCTGCACCTACATAAATACGCTCGAAAACCCAGGGCCGCTTAATAACTGTGTTTTATAGAGGCCTACCTCACCGTGCAGTCTATTAACCTACAGAGCACAGTGTCAATATTCTGCTTAAATACCTTTTAAATATGATGGTACCTCGAGTGCCTTTTGCCAAATATTTGAGCACTATAATGAACGTCCTGCTACCGCCTCAGCCATCAGCTTTCATACGCAGCTGCAGCGTTACGTACATGTGTATTCACATGGAAGTGTATATATTTAAGTGCATATCTGCGATCAGTTTGATAAAAATTCTGGGTTAATATTTCTTATTTCTCTATTGAAATCACGATTATAACCTAAAAGCTTGGTATATGTAAAAACACTTGACCTTAACATTTTTCCTATCATACTCGTTGAGTTAGGCTCAGCAAGTAGCCAATTGCCTGCTTGGGTCTGCCTATTCCAAATTTATTTATTTTATGAAATTCAATATATAAGATACGCTTTCATCCCATCTTTGATTTTTAATGCAATGCAACCCTTCTTTCCGTCACGTTTAGGAAATATTCGTATATTCGCAATAAATGAATACAATCTGAGCTATTCATTCCTAAGCAAGGCTATGGTGAACCATTCATTAGAGTTCTATGAATCCGTGAAATGCAAGTTAGATAACAATATTTGAATGAGAATATTCCACGGATTTACATATAGTTCATTAAGAAATTTCACTTAGATGTGTCCCTCAACAGTTTCTGCCTTCACAAACACTTGTATTAAGCATCAGGGAAGCAACGAATTGGAGGAAAGCTTAAAATTGTGTAGTTCTTTTATAAAAGCATGTATCAGAGATTAGACTATATCTGCACATAAGTAAGATATTTGTTTTTGTTATATATATAAGAAAAAACAGTAGAACTCGTCGAGGAGGTGGAGAAATTCATCGACAACACGCCAGCCAACTGCGAAAGATTTTTATCTACACAATTGTCGCTAGCTAGAATAGAAATGTCAACTAAAATGAAAGCTTCAACCTAGTCAATCGTTTAATCGATTCGAAACAATGCTAACAGTTCTCACAAAAGAACTGCATTTTCCCTTATATATATATATATATATGTAAAGCAATTTTCTTGCTATTAAAATTACACTATGTATTCTTTTCACAAATTTTGTTGACGTCCCAGGATGGAATTTATTTTACAATTTTTCTCCAAACATATGTTTTTCGACAAAAGAAAAGGAAATTGGTAAAGACGCACACGATAGATTTAATGAATTTTATTGTACTTGTGTTGAGTTTTCCGAACACCTTTAGATTTTTGCTTTATACAGCGACGACGTCCTGTTGTCTACCCCATTCCACCAGTTTCTGCGTAATATTCCCCGTTACACTTTTGTACAAAGCCAAATTGAACACCGCCATTCAATGTTTTTCGTACAGTTTCCGAAATTTCTTGAGGGGGGACCTAAAAAAATTATATTTATATTTCCAGGAAAATCAGTTCAAGTTAAAAAAAAAAAAAAAACTCACCCGAGCTTTAGCAGATATATACATCACAATCTTGTCCAACGTCATTGGTTGTCCAACCTTCGCAAGAACTTTTAATATCACTTCTCCATTTTGATTGAACATTTTAGTTGCCTTTCTTTTCAATTATCACAAAATAGAAATCCAATCAAAGGCCTTTTCAAGCCCAACTTTTTTTTTCAAATTTGTTTAATAAATAAAAAAAAAAATTTAAAAAATTGATGCAAAAGCAGAAAGTGTAGTTTGTAAAAGGAATAATTTTTCAAATGTGATTTTTTTTTATTTTTTGATTTAAATTAAAAATGAACTAAAATTTCTAGGTTGTTATTATTATTATTATTTTTTTTTTTTGATAACGAGAAAGTGTTTAATGAAAAGTTGCTATAAGGAAAAATTCCATAAGTTCATCGTTTCTCTGAATCTGAAAGTTTTAATCTTCTTTGGTCGGGATATCATGGGATCATAAACTCACATAACCTCAAAATTAATCGACCAACCACTTCGCGTCACGTATGATGGAAAATAAGCGCGTAAGGGTATAACATATGATAGGCAGATTTTGCAACAATTCTTATTCCCCTGATCGGGTAGTTTTGTCGTTAAAATAAAAAAGTTAACCGTTTTTGAGTCGGATTTAATGGCTACAGTAATAAGACATCACTTCAACTAACCATTGCGAGCATTACTTTTTTTTTTTTGTGGATTACATAATCTGTTTCTTTTGTGGCAAAATTGACCTTGGATTTTGATTGATTGATTGTAACTAATATGACAAATTTTATACAATGTCGCGAAAACTATGACAAGGAGAAGCAACGCCTAAGCACTTGCGCCTAGCGATCGGTTCCCAAGGCCAAAATGCAATCAATGGTTGTTTTAGTTTCCCTAGATTATCTTATCATAGGCAAAAAAATGGAATTTAAACTAATTTTTTCGAATGTTTTGTTGGTGGAAATGATTGGCTGAAAATGTCGAATAACGATTTTGAGTTAAAAAAAGTCAGAAAATCCATGAGGTAAATGTAACAGTAACTCTTCGACATTGTTTCTCCTTCATGGGAATGAAATAATAATCATATCAGTTGCAATTTTGAGTTAAATTTTATTCTGTGCAGTTTGGTTAAAATTTATGTCTACTGCCTATAACTCCTCCATCTCTGTTACAGTTTGCAAATAGCTCTGTTAGTGAGAAACGCTTTTTTATCACGGAAAAAAAGAAGGGAAGAGATGATAAAGAAATGCAATTTAGACATCGTCAACTTGAAATATTGGCGGTTGTTAATCTTTCTAATAAATGTTTAACTATTTATTATCGCATGACAAGTATTGACAAAAGAAAATCATTTATTTACATTATCATCACGGCAAACGCCAGCGCTGTTAAAATATCATAATTTATAATCCTTCCCATCCATCTCTGACATAATGCACAAACACGCACATACATACTCCTTCCTGAAATAATCGCAAATAGAAAGCGGTTGAACATATCTATATATATATATAGGTATGTATATACTTATATATGTATATATCTATATATATATATATATATATATATATAAATATATATATATACATGTATATTTATTATGTGTGTATATGTGTAGGTAAATATAAGAAAACCTGGAGAAGGCGAAATAAATCAAGTGAAAATGAATCTGAATGCAGAAGAAAAGAAGAATAAGTAAAAAATTTTAATATCATTTATTGTCAAAGATATTCTCACTTACCCAACGCTATTTACCAGCCGAGTTGATAAGCACGCCCGCTAGCACACAGCTAGTGTTGAAAGTATTATAAGTATAATAAAAGCGTAAAATAATATAAATGTGAATAATAGAAAAGCGTGGAATGCCAATACATTTTACTTTTTTTTCTTCTTTTTTTGCTTCCTTAAGCAATAGTTTTCTTTTCTTTTGCAAAGTAATGCTTTCGTTGCGTTAACCGTAGCGGCCCCTCAATGGTTTTTAGGTGACGGGCTGAGATGGAATATAAACGAAAAAAAGATACCGTTCAATATTGTTTTCAATTCTTTTTCCTTTTTTTTTTTCCTTAACTCATTTTATATTCTGTTGATTGCTTATTTTGCTAGCAACCAATATGTGTCAAATGCAAATTTCAATTGCATAACCGATGAATCTAAAAAAAAACTAGGAGAGCAAAGAAAAAGAATATGAAAAAAAAAAATAAAAATTGAAAACTGAAAAGCGATGACAAAACAACTTGCTGGAGGTGATGGTATTTTTACCCTTAGAGTAAATTCAGTTCACAAAATGAAAATAAGAATCAGTATTGAAAATTTTTATTGAAAAAAGAAAAAAAAAAAGTGAGCACAAATAATGTGACAATAGCGCTGTAGAATGAATGCCCCATAGAATAAACACATTCATAAACACTTTCGCACAAACACCTGACAACACAACGACATCAAAAGCATTATCATAATATTAACGAATACTGTGAAGATATTGTCTAAAAGATTGTCTCTTTGTCTGTTTGTCGCCTTTCCAGTTTGATTGCAATATTATCCAGAAAATTTTTTTTGCATTCATTTTGCATCTGATTTGCAATAAAATAAACGTAACCTCATACACGTATAAAGTACTACTAAAAAAGAAACAAATAAAGTAATAACGTCATCTAAAGAAAGAATAGTGAAAAACTATATCAATGCAAAAACTTCCGTATATCGGAATACTTTCCAATATAGCATAAAATTTTTTTTTTTTTTTTTCAATATAATCGTATATTAATGTGTCGATAATACGTATAAATCTTTTTATGTGCTTCCGTTTTATTTAAAATATATAAAAGAAGATTATCTTATATATATATATATATATATATATATACGTAAAACTAAGGAAGAAAATAAACAAAAGAAAATTACAATCTAAAATAACAAGAAGTAAGATAATAGTCGTAATTCTATCTATCAGCTAAAATCTGAAATGTTTATAAGCTTAAGCCAGTTTAATGCAAATTTCCTACTAAGTAGGGATAATGCAACCTTTTTAAGTGCGAAAGGTCATTTGACTTGAATTTATTTACGAATAACATATCAAGTTATTGATAAAATAATTATTTGGGCTTCTTTTGAGACAATTTAAAATTATTTTCATTTCGCAAGAAAATCTTTTGCAAATTTTGCAACAACAAAGCCCCATAGAAATTAAATCAGTAAATACTCACGCACTTTAAGAGTTTCATAAAGTGGGAGTGCTTTCAAAATTAAATTGCAATCAACATCTCCATGATTTGTCGTGAAATTGCTCCAACAAATAGTTTAAATGGTGACTCTTCATCACAAATTGAGCTTGCCTAAGAAAGGTGGGGTGAGATTAAAATTTAACAGATTAAAATATATAGATGAAAAGTCGAAACGTGGAATATATATATATATATGAAAAGTCCAAGATAAACTTGAAAAGAAAATTTTAAGAAATTTTCGTATTTAAAACGAAAAATCAAAACATCTCTTCGAATACTATTTAAAATGTAGTGAAGAACGTAGAATTTTTGGAAAGCGTTTATTTAAAAAGAAGTAAAAATAGCCTAGTGGGGCATGGCCCATGATTAAATATCGCTTGATACACTTACTCATATTACGACTTTTCAAAAGAAAGTGTTACCATGGGAAGTAGTGGAAAAAGGTGGTTCGATCCGAACCATTTCATATGGCGTTCATTCTTGGGCTAAAATATATCAGTGTACAAAATTTTATTAAAATATCCCAAAAACGGCGACCTGTAAGTTGACAGCAAGGAAACAAGACGGACAGGCGGACAGGTAAACCTAGATCTATTATTAATTAGGCGACCCTGTCTAGCTTTTCATAGAAAAAAGGAGTAAGGAGAGAAAGGAGAACAAAAACAATCGGACTTTACTAATTTACTTTTGAAGAGAATTCTCGCATACTACCTCGAAGGACTTGGACAAAGAAGTATTAGTTTAGATGTGTGAACGCCGACAGATTCCAGATACCATAGTCTAGGAGTCAGTGTACGAAGGTCAGTTTAGAAAAATATTGTGATATAATCTAGCAAATATATTTCAAGTCCATTCCAAGTCCTTCATAGTATTGTTTACATTCTCACATATTTAATACGTCCTGCAGCATAAAGAGTCTAGGACAGAGACAACAAAATACAAGGGACACAGAAGTTTCTTAGAACAATGGATAAGAGTTCTCCGGCTTCTATTTCTGTTTTACTATGCATATCAGTGGAATGTCTACCTGCTACCATTACATAGAAGTGCGCTGTAAATATTTACCACTGCAGAACTGACTTGCCTTGGCTCATTCAAACGCTAAATTCAGTTCACTCGGCACCATTTGGTTTGAATCGTTTCTAATGATCATTTATTTAGCTCTCTATCTCACACTTCTCCGTTGAAATAAAAATAGATGGACAAAAATGCAAGTATAGGAAACAATTTGACATCAGAAATACTTCATACTAAAATTGATAAATAGTGGAATTTCGATCAGATGATAATTTGTAATATTTGAAATCGAAAGAGTAAATCTGAAAGAAAGAAGATTTGATTGCACCAAGTCGTTCACAATAGAGGTACAGATGCTTTTACGGGCTTAACGCCGGTACGCTACAAGGGTGGTTAAACTCCATGGCCCTCGATGGGACACGAATTAATTTGGTAAACGGTAATTGACGCCTCCAAGAAGTAGGACAATTCCCATTCAAGGGACGGAGCGAAAGGTTAAGTAAATTCACATTTTTTGTTAGTTCTCCACGAAACTGCGGGATAACCACAGCCGTCACGTTACTCCCCGAGAGGACACATCAAGCAGTCGGGCAAGAAGGCATTCGTCCTGTGAGTCAGATAAGAAGTCCATCGCCATACCGTGAGCTATCTCGCTTTTGGACAATCTGACCCCGTGGACACCCTCAATTTCATTACTTGCCTTTCTATTTTTTAGTCTTACGTCACGCTGTGTATGCTTGGTTGATCACGTACTGTACTCGGGCATAGCCATACTTGCTTATGACATTGACACACCTCCCGGAAGGGAGGTGGCAATTTGAAGTAATACTAATAATAATTTTATTTCAAGGTTTTTCTATTAAAATTATTCTGCAA